AGGACAAACCTCGCCCACGTCTGATACACAAACGCACGAGGTTTCTTTCTCGAATTTACAGATCCATCGTCGCTGTCATCATCAGGCGACCGTAGAGGATCATTGTGATCGCTCTTCACGGACTCGATTTCCTCGCGTGGATAATGGGCTGCTTTTATAGCATCGAGCAGTACGGTTCAGAAGCTCTTTATGACCTTTTCTTCCAAGGTGGCGCCCACGTTATGTTGCAAGAACGAAAGTTTTTAATCCAATGCCATGGCACCACCTTCAGCCAGAATACCTCGCGGAGACATGCCGAAGAGCGTTTGATGCGATGAATCACTTTGAACCGTTCCCCTTGCAGCCTCTGAAGCCCATTTCGAGCGATTCTTCAGAATTCCTCTTTTGTTCGAGTAGAGCTCCAACCTTATTGGGCCGGTGGGGGGCAAAAAAACTTTCCAAGAAATACCTCTCTAGTTGTTAGTTGGCCCCCTAGATGTCCGATATTGAGCCCAAAGGACGTTTTGCGAGCGTTTATGACACATCTTATCGAAAAGCAAAACGAGCACACGCATCAAGGAGCCGAACCCTGATGGCAATCCTATCAGTCCACTATACTATCCGCTAGGCCACCATTGCACAGGTGAGAGCTTTGCTCGGCTCGGTGATCCGTTCATCGCAATGGTATAACACAGGGAGGGACTGGTCTCGTAGCTTTGTTATCAGAATCGTTTAGCAGATTTGAAGCACAGATTCGAACTCAGAGTTTGAAACCACCTGAGGGTAAACATCTTATCTTAAATGGCCACTGCGACCAAGTATCCTTCCCTTGCAAGAAATGAGGCCAGATATCAGATGTGGGCGAGGTTTGCCCTAATAATTCTGTACAGAAGTTTAGAACGTAAAAAAATTAGTCAGAGATTACCTAGGAAATGTGGTTAAATATCAAACTTGGGCGAGGTTTGCCCTGAAGTGCGCGAACTGATGTCAATATTCATAACTGCGTTACGAAAATTCTAGAACGGGAAAGAAGTGGTTAAAGGTTAATTAAGAGAAGTGGTCACATTGTCAATGTGGGTGAGGTTTCCCCTCATAATGCTGTACAGAACAGTTTTAGAACGTTTTGAAAAGCAGTGAGAGAACACCGAAGAGATGTGGCCAAATATCAGGTGTTTGCGAGGTTTTCCCTCGTTATGCTGTACAGAACAGTTCTAGAACGTGCCGTGAGAGACCCACTAAGAAATGATGTCAAATATCAGATGTGCCCGAGGTTTGCCCTGAGGTGGGCGAACTATTGTCAATATTCATAACTCCGTAAAGAAAGTTTCAGAACGCGGAAAGAAGCGGTGAGAGAACACCGAAAAATTTGGCCAAATATGAGGTGTTGGCGAAGCTTGCTCTCATAATTCTGTACAGAGCAGTTCTAGAACGTGGAAGAAAGCACTGAGAAACCACATAAAAAATGTGGTCAAGTATTCGATGTGGACGAGGTTCGCCCTCATAATTCTGTACAGAGCAACTCTAGAGCGAGGAAAAAAGTGGTTAGAGGTTACCTCAGAAATGTTTCCAATTGTTAGATGAGGGCGAAGTTTGCCCTCACAACCATTTGCAGAACAGTTCTAGAACATGGAAAAAACAGTAAGAGAACACCTGAGAAATGTGGCCAAATATTCGTAGAATGGTGCTGCTGTGCATGTTTTTTCCATTATTTCTACTGCGTTTCCATCAAAACTTTCTATTTCATATGATGTTCGTGTAACACCATTAAAGGTGAAAGGGAATGATCCCCCGCTTCCATGGACTGCTGTAGATCAGGCAGTAGCCCTTCGCGCATACCTCGCATTAACGACGTGATTTCTGAACAATACAACTCCGCCTTTCGTGCATTTCATTGAGTGGCTTACAGCGAGATCCGTAGGTCTGCACTGATTCGTGAGGAAAAGTAGGATTAGGAGGGAGGGAGTGACTTTAAAGAATTTTGAACGGAAGGCCTGGTGTTATAATAAAATGGTGGGGGAGAGTTTTTTTCCGTGCAGGGGCATGTCGGGTTGGAGTGCTCAGATGTGGAAGGACCTCCATTCCTATTTCGTTCTCGTTGGTACTATCTTTGTCCACTTCCTCCTACGAAATGGAATTGCGTTTGCGTAGGTTGTGCTGGATGGTGATGGGGGTGATCTCGTTGAAGGCTGGGTTAGATATGGTAGGTACGCGGCCGAACATTATGATCGCTCCGTTTTTTTCTAGTTGTTAATATACTCCTCACTTCCTTGAGTCGATTTGCCACCAGTAATCCGACCGTTTGTTGATTAGGTGGAGAACTCATTCATCCTAGTACTATTTCGGATTCCGGGAAGAAGAGTATTCTAGGTATCCGAGTTACCTCGCTTAGTGACGAGTGCGCGAAATGGTCTTGCTTCTAGTGTTAGTGCGTTCTTCTCCATTTTTGGGACGGTGATCGCCGTTTCTATTGACGGTAGTTTCGACTTCTTCATTATCAAATTCGACCCTGCCTCAAAGCTAAGATACATACATGTGGCCATTGCGAAATGACTAGCGCCTGTGAAGACGAACATCGTGCGCGTTTCGTCACGTACGAACATCGTGTGCGATTCGTCACGATTGGCAACTATTCTTTCTATTTCTTTATAAAATGTAGTTATTTCTCTGATGATGGAGCGCCACTACACCTGTAAGTGATGTGCCAAAGGAGTGTCATGACTGTACTCATCCTTCAATAGAATTTGCAAAACATTTTGGCTGGTAGTAGTACAGGGACCGCTAGTCCGAGTTGATCGAATACTGATGTCAACTGTTTTGACACTGTTCGTTTCGTGATGATCTTGGTTACGGTCATTGTACCCTTTAATATTATCTCGTCACTGATGGAGTTGCAAGGTATTCCGAACACCTTCGGACAGGCTGCCTCTGAGAGGTCTTTTCTATCATTGATGTTATTGAATACGTCATCGTTAGACAAAAACTCTCTAAGATTCATATGAATAAAACTCAACACAATTTTAAAAAATTGGTGCATATTAAATTTATAAATAGCTTAATAGTTGAAATTAAAATAGTTGTTTTGGTATAAAAGATCAAAAAGCTATAAATTAGATAATATTAACAATTATCATTATTTATTGAGATCTCCTTCTAAAGATCGTCACCTATGATCAGGTTGCCCGCATAAAGATTTTCTTTGACTTTCTTGGCACTATTCATATTGAAACTCATGTGACTAAGTGAAAGGCAACTGTAGTTTTATAGAGGAATGGCGATGTATTCAGTCCGAATGTGACCGTTGTGAATCTATAGGTCAATATGCTATCGGGATCCGGTTGAAGAAAAACATTTCGTACCACAGACTACAAATTGCGTCTCGATCAATTTCCTGCAAGCATACTTGTAAAAGGCTTTTCAGCATCCGAGATCATCGCAATATTGTGGGTGCCAAGCAATCTTCTTCTTCTTCTCCCTAGCGTTAATCCCGCGCCGTCGCAGGGTC